CAGCTGATCCATTTATTCTGCTTTGTATCGGGTAGAAAGGATCAGAACACATGGTTAAAATCTGATTCCTTTCTTTGCTTTCCGAACGACAACGTTACTGATCCTAATAATCGGATTAATAGGGTAACAGTTCCTGAAAAGCCCCTTGTCTGATTTTACTGTTGCAACATTACGTAAGTAGACTTTTCCAGCGGCCACTTGTCCATTTATCGAAAGCATTGGCTACGTCCCATCAAAAAAAAAAAAGAAAAAGGTGGTAGTACGCTAGCTTTGTCTATCAAAGCAGAACTACTGAAAACGTACTATAGAATATATAAAAAGAATACCTGCTTACCTGTTGGACATCAAGGTAACTGGAAATTTGTAACAGTATTCTAGTTTATACGAAAATCGACATATCTATTTGTTCCATATTTAACTATTTTTGAAATCCTTTAGAGTGATACGCCCATGGAATCGCTCTCCTCGTACGGATCTACATATTGAGAATGAATCACTATCAACCGTTTTGATACTGGAGTATAGATGAGATATACGTGATTTATGGGAAATTCGGTTATTAAGGGCCGATTCTACAATGCAAGTATAAAGTTCTGTATAATTATTCTCCTTCGATTTATTCCAAGTATAACAGCGTTTGCATTGTTTGTAGCTTCGGTATAACTATACGAAGAAGAACCGCCGAAAAACGACGTAGTAGATACAGCGTTCAGATTTAGTTCAAGTGAACTGACATAAATCAGAATAAGATTTTTATTTGCCCCCAAAGTCGATGTGACTTTTATCGAGGTACTCAATTATGACCTTGTATTTGACATTGACCTTCAAGGCCATTTGATGGTCGACTATAGAAATCGACCCTGATGACCTCCACAAATGTTTATAAAGATATTCAGTACCATGGATCGGCGACCTTGGATTTAATCTTGAAGGTCATTTGAAGGTTGACTTTGTTTCTTTTTATATCATGAGGTTGGATCCTGGAAAAGCGTTAAATTTTTCAACCGAACGTGAATTAAAAGTTCATTTGAAGATCAAATCAAGAGTTAACCCTGGAATAGTAACGAAATATTTTTAATTTTTCAAAAAACATTAAAAATATCACACCACTATTACTGAACCATTGAAATCTTTTCGATAGTATTCCATTTCGATAGCATTAACGTTCGATTTGCTCTTTAAATTAACTTTTAATTTGATACCTTACTTTGCAATATACTCGGGTACCGCTTTTTCAGGTATCAGGAATACAGGTTCCAACATAAAATGAAAGAAATTCAACCTTTAATCAACCTTCAAATGGACCCAAACATCCTTGACAACATTTGCAGAGGTCGTCAAGATCAATTTCCGTAGTTGACATTCAATTGACCTTGAAGGTAGAGGTCAAGGTCAAATTCAAAATCGTAATTGAGTAACTTAATAAAAATTCCATCAACTTTCGGGGGCAAACATTATTTCGAGGCTACTTCAGCGGTAACAAATCACTTGAACTCTCTGTGACCTTGACCTTAACGCAAGGTTAAAGTTGAGATCACATCCAGATGTAAAATTTTCTACCGAATTCATTCCCAGGGTAAAAATAGAAGACCCAATTTAAAATTATGAAGTTGACGTTCAATTGACCTTCACGGTTAAGTAAAATTTAAGGTCATCAACTGCTTTCCCTTAATGAACTGAACAACTTTCATTTAGGTCATTTTTGGATCGGAGGCTTCACTATCGAGATATGTATCGCTTAAAATGGGACAATTGGTATACAGGGTGTTTCTGAAATAAGTGCATTCCTTGAAAACGGTGGTAGAGGGCACGAAAATAAGCAACATTTATTAAGCAACTGATGGTGCAAAACATTACGTTTTAAATTGGAAAAAATCCACATCAAGGTTTAAACAAATTTATAGCTGTCCCTGGTGCGATATCGAAGTTGCCGCGCGCCGTAGTGCGAAAACGCTGATTGCGGTTTTGACATTTTAAATTTTGTGTTCGAAAATTCTGAAATTTATTCAAATCTCGTTTAAAAGTAACACAAAAATTAAACGAATAAACGAATTACTTACCAATAGATGATGCTCTATAAAAATTATTTAATGTTGTTTCTATGTGCTAATAAACATGCTTCCAAACGACGATTAAAATTCTGTCACCAAAAACACCACTCCACACATTCATTGAACCGGAATCTCTGTATACAATGTGAGAATTTGCATCACACCGATAGTGAATGTTAAAAAAAATTAGTATGCCGTCTGCAGTAAAACAATATTCATCCGTAAAAAGCACCTTGCTTGTAAAATCCAGATTTTGCTATTTGAAGTTGAAACTACTAGCAAAATTCCACACGGGGCTGAAAATCATTGTTATATAACGCTTGAACCTTTTGTACATGATGGGGGTGTAATAAATCTTCCCGTACTACACGCCACACGGTACTGTTAGTTTTATACGCCGGCTAAGTAATACTGCAACACACAACACACGTGCACAAGATGCACAGGGTCGGTTTACATTTGTGGTTAATTTTCTTAATTAATTTTCTCGAAAACGGAAGCATTTAAACCATCAGTTGCTTAATAAAAGTTGTTCATTTTCGTGCCCTCTAACGCCCTTTTCAAGGAACGTATAGCCTTATACTTGGTTTGTACTTGCATTGTAAAACGCACCCTAAAGGGTATAAAATTCTTACTGTAAACAGCATATTACTAGTTACTTATGCGAAAAGTAGGGGTTTCAATGTTTTCCAAAATAACAAAAAACTACCACACTCAATAGGCCATAACACCACTGCACCAACAAACTTTGTACACTTTACACGTAGGTAAGGTATTGACACTGATATGTCAAAGATAAAGTTTTGTGGTATAAAAAAAGACCTACCACTCCGGCAGACCTCGCACAAATTTACACTTTTCCTTAATTAGGTAAGGTTTTGTATATAATAAAGGTAATGTTACTAATGCATGACATTTAGAGATCAGGATGCATTATCTAGGAACCGTAGTAATTGACGACAACTTTAGATATCGATAGTTAAACTAGTTTGGTAAAACTTAGATGCGTGAACACATTTTTTTTTTGTGGCAGATTAGAACTTTTCCGGTAAAATTTACTTTCGAAAAGTGGCTTACTTGAATTCTCCCCGCCTTCTCCTTTAAATTTAAAAATTACACGGAGCAAAATTAAAGTATGCCACTTTGCACTTAACGAATGAACCGACGATAAACAGGTGCTTGTCGTAACGCGACGAATACTTGAATTCCGCAGCCATCTCGAGCCAGCCTACCCAGCGCATGTCGCAGCGTAACCAGCAGATGCAGGGGATGCAAGGAGCGAGGGGCAACTCCAACAGCGGCCAGAGCAACCCGAACAACCCCCCGAATCCGCAGAAGAGGGCCAGGTTCTTCGTCGCCCTCTTCGACTACGACCCCGCCACCATGTCCCCCAATCCGGACGCCTGCGACGAGGAGCTGCCGTTCTCGGAGGGGGACACGATCAAGGTGTGGGGCGACAAGGACGCCGACGGCTTCTACTGGGGGGAATGTAGAGGTNATTTATTAAGCAACTGATGGTGCAAAACATTACGTTTTAAATTGGAAAAAATCCACATCAAGGTTTAAACAAATTTATAGCTGTCCCTGGTGCGATATCGAAGTTGCCGCGCGCCGTAGTGCGAAAACGCTGATTGCGGTTTTGACATTTTAAATTTTGTGTTCGAAAATTCTGAAATTTATTCAAATCTCGTTTAAAAGTAACACAAAAATTAAACGAATAAACGAATTACTTACCAATAGATGATGCTCTATAAAAATTATTTAATGTTGTTTCTATGTGCTAATAAACATGCTTCCAAACGACGATTAAAATTCTGTCACCAAAAACACCACTCCACACATTCATTGAACCGGAATCTCTGTATACAATGTGAGAATTTGCATCACACCGATAGTGAATGTTAAAAAAAATTAGTATGCCGTCTGCAGTAAAACAATATTCATCCGTAAAAAGCACCTTGCTTGTAAAATCCAGATTTTGCTATTTGAAGTTGAAACTACTAGCAAAATTCCACACGGGGCTGAAAATCATTGTTATATAACGCTTGAACCTTTTGTACATGATGGGGGTGTAATAATTCTTCCCGTACTACACGCCACACGGTACTGTTAGTTTTATACGCCGGCTAAGTAATACTGCAACACACAACACACGTGCACAAGATGCACAGGGTCGGTTTACATTTGTGGTTAATTTTCTTAATTAATTTTCTCGAAAACGGAAGCATTTAAACCATCAGTTGCTTAATAAAAGTTGTTCATTTTCGTGCCCTCTAACGCCCTTTTCAAGGAACGTATAGCCTTATACTTGGTTTGTACTTGCATTGTAAAACGCACCCTAAAGGGTATAAAATTCTTACTGTAAACAGCATATTACTAGTTACTTATGCGAAAAGTAGGGGTTTCAATGTTTTCCAAAATAACAAAAAACTACCACACCCAATAGGCCATCACACCACTGCACCAACAAACTTTGTACACTTTACACTTAGGTAAGGTATTGACACTGATATGTCAAAGATAAAGTTTTGTGGTATAAAAAAAGACCTACCACTCCGGCAGACCTCGCACAAATTTACACTTTTCCTTAATTAGGTAAGGTTTTGTATATAATAAAGGTAATGTTACTAATGCATGACATTTAGAGATCAGGATGCATTATCTAGGAACCGTAGTAATTGACGACAACTTTAGATATCGATAGTTAAACTAGTTTGGTAAAACTTAGATGCGTGAACACATTTTTTTTTGTGGCAGATTAGAACTTTTCCGGTAAAATTTACTTCTGAAAAGTGGTTTACTTGAATTCTCCCCGCCTTTTCCTTTAAATTTAAAAATTACACGGAGAAAAATTAAAGTATGCCACTTTGCACTTAACGAATGAACCGACGATAAACAGGTGCTTGTCGTAACGCGACGAATACTTGAATTCCGCAGCCATCTCGAGCCAGCCTACCCAGCGCATGTCGCAGCGTAACCAGCAGATGCAGGGGATGCAAGGAGCGAGGGGCAACTCCAACAGCGGCCAGAGCAACCCGAACAACCCCCCGAATCCGCAGAAGAGGGCCAGGTTCTTCGTCGCCCTCTTCGACTACGACCCCGCCACCATGTCCCCCAATCCGGACGCCTGCGACGAGGAGCTGCCGTTCTCGGAGGGGGACACGATCAAGGTGTGGGGCGACAAGGACGCCGACGGCTTCTACTGGGGGGAATGTAGAGGTGAGTCTTTTGTTTTGAGAGAATGAAATTGTACATTTTTTGAAAAATATCATATACAGTGTGACCACACTGTAAAATCTGATCACGGATCCGAGGTCAATTTTGCGAAATTCAATATGGCGGATCCAAGATGGCCGAGTAAATTTTCAAAAAATAACAGATTCGCGCCAAATTTGGAATACGGGGGTTTTCGGGGTCACTGATCACGAATCCGAGATCAGATTTACAAAATTCGTTTCTAAAAATTTACTCAACTACTTATGTACTTTAAAAAGGTTAAAACTTGATTGGGTACTCAGCTTATAAAGTAAACAAAAATATTACAAAATGAATTTCGCAATTCTGACCTCGAATTCGTAATCAGCGACCCCGGAAACCCCCGTATGCCAAATTTGACGCGAATGTGTTATTTTTTTAAATTTGATTAGCCACCTTGGATACACCATCTCGAATTTTGCAAAACTAACCTTGGATCCCTAGGTGCGTTCGGGAAGTTCACTCTTTTCACTCTAATCGCTCTAAGCACACTAAATCCGTTCGAGTATTCACCTCTGAGTAAATAGCGTTAACTTCGTGAGGGTTCGGGTACTGCTTTTGTAGTTTAAAGAGTTCACTCCAAAAGTTCCACCTCTGGGATGAGGAGCTTGAGAGCGGGCATGCGCATTTCCTATTTTTCCCGGCTCTACCGGACGTTTTGTTGATGTTTTCAATTCCTAACCTCAATCTCTCATTCTGCAAATCAAATGATAGAAGCATCATTGTTGCTTCTTCGTCATTCTTCTGTGCATTATTTGATTTGATTATTGACATTATTTCTTATTCTTTGTTTCGCATTTGCATTTGCTGACGTTGTGGTTTGTGCTGTGAGTTTTATTTACATATTGAATAGAATAATGGATGGAACGATGCCCATTATGCATATAACTGGTCAAACGCATTCTCTGGTAGTAGATGAAAGCGGAAATAATATCACAGTGGATGATGTTAACGGCGTTAAAACTGTTTTATTATACAGTAATAATGGTAAGTAAAAATTTTTAGTAATTTTTTCGTTTTGTAAGCAGCCGTAATTTTGTATTTATTTAGACAAAGAAGTCATTACTGTGCCATTAACAGAAGGTATTGCCAAAGAATTTGGACTTCTAGAAGTAAGAAGAGATGGAACCAATCCAAGAGGTACAGAGGAGATTACTTCTCAGACAATTCAAGAGAGCCGCGAAGATTGTGAGCAAATAAAAATTTGGACAACAAATAATACACTTTATTTAATAGAGTGTGTAGAGAAATTTGATAAAGAATTTTCATCTGGAATTAAAAAAAATGTTTGGCAGAGAGTTGCCGAAGCCTGCAAACATCTACACAAACACATAACTGCAAAAAATTGTGAAATAAAATGGAAATCTTTAGTTCGTACATACAAAAGTATTTTACTGAATAATAACACATCTGGACAACGGAAAAGGTACTGGGAATATTATGACAGAATGCATTCCATAATGTACAAAAAACCTGAAATAACGCCCCCAGCTACCTGCAGTAACTTATCAGGAATGACGATTAAAAGTAAGATTTTTAAGAATACCTAGATATCGACAAGAAAGATATTACCACTTTCCACATTTATTAATAAAATAACTATTGTTTTAGATAAAGAAACCAAACAGCTAATTCAAGTGGAAGAGGAAACAGAGGAAAGTGATAACGCAAAAGAAAATACGAAGTTTGAAAGCTCATTTTCTAAAAAAAGAAAGCAAAAAATGTCTGAAACAGGGAAACGTCACCAGGAAAAGATGCAGAGACTAGACAGATTTAACGACCTATTGGAAATGATGATTAATAAAATGCCAGAAAAGTAAAATGAAAAAACTTTACTCTTCTGGCATTTTGGCTTTAAATATAAAGGTTTTTTTTGTACCTATTTAAATGTTTAGTATACAGGGTGAGTAATAATTAGGTAAACAAAAGTGCCATAGTTATCTGTCGAAACATATTTTTGATCATAGAATATATTGTAAAAGTTTGTTTGCCTAATATGACTCACCTTGTATAGTTAAAGAATTTAGTTTTTGTTTTGTTTCAGAGAATAATAAACTATATTTTTTGTTATAAATAAATAAAAAATGTGCATATTTAGTAATGTTTTATTGGCCCCTAAGAATAGGTAAACTATTAACAATATTGTTTCTTTTTACAATTGCTTTTACAATTACAATTGCAATTTTTAGGTTTCCCAGGTACCAAATCGCTACCATCAATTCCTTTTCAAAGTTTATTCGAGGATAGCCACATTTTTGAAAACCATTATTTATTGTTAAAATATTATGTATTTTTCCAACTAGATCGTCAAAAGTTGAAGGGCTCATCCGAAAATGTCTTTGAAACTGACGATTTTCCATCCTTGGCACAGTTATTTCCGCAAAATTATCTACTTTCTCCAACACCGTTTCTTCTTCGTCGGAAGCATCATTTTCCAAATAAATTTCGCGAGCGAAATTAAGAAGGAAGGGAGCACAAGAAAAAAATGCATTCATCTCGGCGAAAATTTCAGAAAAAGTCGTACCGTACAAGAAAAAGTATGATATCTAATTAATTAGAGGTTAGAAAACTATATTTGACATCTGTCATCCGTTTGGGTTCTTTTTCTTTTACTCATTTTACTCTACAGTCACGTGACCAGAAATTCACTCTAACTCCACTCCAACACCGCGCCAGCATCCCGAACGCACCTCCTGATCAGCGACTCCGAAAACCCCCGTATAATAAATTTTAGCGCGAATCTGCTATTTTTTGAAAATTCGTGATATCTGACCTTAATTGACCTGTTTTTTTGAAGTTAGAAAAAAATCCATCAATTTTGACCGCCGATTCACGTTCGGCGGGGTCTTAACCATATAAATCAACATTTGAATACATATAACAAATTTTTTTGTATTTTTTCTAGTACTTTTTCGTGAATTTTTGCTATTTTTAACCTGTTTTTTGAGGTTAGGAAATTCCTGTGATGTGATAGCTCAATTCTGACACCGGATTCGTGATCTCCTGATCACGAATCCGGCAAAAATACTACGGATAACATATGTCGCATGAAAAGTACAGACAACTTTTTTTGTGTGTGGTTGTGTTTTTTACATATTGATATCAAGTTTTCCATGACAGTTTATTTTGACAAATATATTCACTGGGTCTAGGTGGAACCGTTTCGGTGTTATTTAATAATGGTACACCGTATATAATTTCTATTAAATGCAGTTATTAACCATGAAGCGTTTTTAATAAATGCATTATTCGGAAACGGTCAAACTTACGAAAAAAAAGCTCAAGAGCACTTTTTTATTGTAAAATTAACAGATATTTTAAAGAAACAATCAAATATATAATTTGTCAGTGGAGTAACATTTTTTTCCTTTTTCTAAACAAAGGCACCGGTCACCTTCATTTCCTACGACGCTAATAAAACTAGAAAGTTGAAAATACATGCAAACAATGGGTCTTTATCCCAAAAAACGAAAAAAGTTTGCAAAATTTCGAATATTGTTACGTTCAGAAAATATTAAAACAAGAATATATTTATACAGGATGTCCAGGAAACGACTGTCCACCTCTCGGACTTGTGCAAGTCTTGCAGAAATAAAGTCACATGTTTTTATACAGGGTGTTCTACAAGTTCTATGACAAACTTTGACAAACGGTAGCTGGGTTAATTTCAAACATTTTTCCTTATGTGAACAGCATTTTTTATTTAGCACTTTAACATTAAGCGTCAAATGAATAAACAAAATTACACAAATAATAATTATTGTTGTAGTAACCATCATTTTTATTTGTCAGGGTACTTTGATTGAAATATGAAATTATATTTTTGAAAATGCTTGTAACTTCTAAACAAAAACGAATCGGACCTATGTTCTTATAAGAAAAAATGTTTGAAATTAACCCAGCTATCATTTGTAAAAGTTTGTCATAGAACTTGTAGAACACTGTATAAAAATTTTTCGAAAATGGTTCATTTTATCAACAGCGATAACACCTTTTTCATTAAAATAAGTACAAAAAAATGGCAATAAAAATGAAGAAGTTTATAAAAGGTATACAAATTTTAAAAAGTTATAACAAAAAATCGATTTTCAACACTCAACATCAACAACTGGGGAGCCGGAAGAAAAAATTAATTAACGTTATTTTCATGGACTCGTATTATTATATAAACTACATAGTCACAAAAATTAAGGGATTTTCAAAGAGCTGTAACTTGGAGGAAAATTGATTTTTTACAATTAATTATAATTAACGTGTTTTCACGAAGAGAATATGGATTATTGCTGGGGACACGTAATTTTCGCAAAAAAACAGTCAAATCTCGCAAAACCAAAAATCGAAAATCCAAAATTTCGCATTTATTCGATAAAACCAAAAACAAATCTTCAAGTCAGTCACACATAATACATAGTTGTAAAATAAAATAAATTCTCACTTTATAAAAAATATTGGCGCAACTTTTTTAAATTTAACTTAACTGACTGCATCAGATATTCTGTTAGTTGAAAGTCAACATTGCTGAATTGCTGTCGTTTCTACATGTTCTTCCAACAGCCTGGTCCTTCTCTCCGTGATGACAATGTTGTAGGTGCTGAAAAATCGCTCCGCATCAACATTATTTAGAGGATCCCATATACTTTGAATTACCGCTTTTGCAAAATTTAGATGGACGTATTTAGTTGTCCATAAAACCTGAAGAACATCAGGAGTGTCTCTTTTATCATCTGCATCTAAGAGTTATCGATAAAAGTGACTATATCCATCAATAGAGCTTATCGATGGATATAGATCTTGCGGGATATTTAAAAAAACGGAATTTTGGAAAAATTTACGTATTAGAAATGTTTCCTGAACAACCGCGTGACAATAGCTATAGAGGGACACGTTTCATTAGATTTCATGTGAATTTATTCAAGCTCTTTCAAATTTTACCAGAAGAGCATTGCTTGGCATTTATTTCCATATTTCGCATTAATTCGCATTTTTTCTGTAATTTCGCAATTATTCGCGATTATTTCTTAATACGAAAATTACGTATCCCCAATTATTGTTAAAAAAACATTTTCAATTAAAAAGAAATTAAAAAAAGTGAAAAATTTCACCTATATTCAGCAAAAACGCACCGGCACTAGGAAAAAAATTGCAGTGCTTTGAAACTATCAACGTTTCTTTGGGACACTTTGAGGTTAAAAAGTTAGTCAATATCTTTAGTTTATCCATTATTTACAAAGTTATGCCAAGTTATTCGAATATTCCTAATTAAGAAATTTTTTACCTTTTTCCAACCAACATTTTCACTTCGAAAAAAATTTTCTTATCAAAAACCAATCAACGACTTGTAGAGAATACTTTGCAGTTTTCAAAACCCTACTTGGATTTTCTGTACGATCGTTATTTCCCGAGTAATTGATTGCCAAAGTAGTCCAGTCGGCAGAGGCCGAAAAGTTACTGTTGGTGACATTTTCTTGATAACTCGGAAATAACTACACAGGAATACTTTGAATGATGAGTACAATAACAGGCTAAT